CTTTATTTACCTTTGGAATTTTGTGTTATATCCATATATTAGTCGAAAAAAAACACATTTAAAGAGAGTGATAACAGTCTATAACAGTGATAACATATCCTTCAAATGCTCTTCTCAAATCCATTTTCCATTATGCCCATAGTTATTCTCTCATCAAAGCCATGGACTTCATCCAGTTATCTATGCCAAGCTGACCCTATGCCCATGGAATTGACAGTTGATTCATGCCACTCTCCTGTTTTAAAATAAAATCAAACCTCCAATGAGTCCCCATTGTCCCCAGAGAAAAGTTCAATCCATTAAAAAAACATTCAATCTCCTTTACCACCCAACCCAGCACCAATCTAGTCTCAGCCACACCGAATGGCTTACCACAGCTGCCTTACTTGCCCATAAAATTTCCTCCCATCTCCTCTCCTCCCCTTTCTATCCAACAAATCATATATGGCGTGTGAGGTCTACACCAAATTACCTCTTTGAGCCTTTCCTACCCTCAGGAAGAACCAACAAAACTTTTCTCTGTGCCCTGAACAGTACTTTGCTTATCCTACAAGAAGTATACTGCCCAAAATTATGTTACATACATCATTCATGGGTCCAAAGACGACTACATTTAACCTATGGTCATCTCCTTTAGACTGAAAATCCCTGGAAGTAAGAAGCCAAATCAGTCATCACATATTCCCAGCACCTACTAACTTCCTGGCACTCCAAGGTGCTTCATATATATGAATTCACCATCACCATTTACTCCCATGTTTCCTCATTAATCAACTTGAATTAAGCACGTGGTTTTCCAAGGCTGTTTCTACGCGGTTGGTTAATGCTTGCCCAATGTGACATGGTGTGACCTAGGCAAATTTATCACACAAGTTTAAGGCAGGCTCTTGAGCTTGGTTCGTCTTCCTAATTCTTGCACTGTTGTCTGGCGTCTGTTTGACTTTGCTTTCTCCTGTTGGATACTCTTACTGACTACAGATTTAAAAAATTCCTGGTTTGCTTTCCTGCAATTGATTGCATAAGATGTGGTACCCATTTGGTGAGTTAGGCATGTATAAAAACTGTTTGAGAGATCAGAGTTATCTTTTCAGGAGGAAATGGACAGGAAATGAAATCTCTGGAGGGAGAAGTTGCTGTTCTGCTCTACTGTTTTACTCTAAAACACTCTACCTCTGAAGATACTATAAATTCTCTCAAAGGAAAAAACATCTAAATCGTTTGCCAAGAACTATTTATGATTCTTCTACTCAAATGTAGTTCTTGGTGACTTTTGCTTCTTTAGCCAATAAAAAAGGTGGTGAGGGAAACATCTAAATGTCCACCAACAGGTGAATGGATACACAAATTGTGGTATGTCTATGGAATGGAATATTACTCAGCAATAAAAATGAACAGTTGAAACAGGCAACTTTGAAATAAGTATGGTTGGTGAAAGAAATAGGTTTTTAAAAAAGTACATAGTGTTTGACTGCCTTTATGTAAAATTTTAGACAGTACAAACTAACCTAACAGTGACAGAAAGCAGATCAATGGTTGTTTAAGGATGGGGGAAAGCCAGGATGGAAGGGAAGGAGAAATTATAAAGGGTTGAGAGGAAGCTTTTGAAAGTGGTGGGCATGTTCACTATCTTGATTGTGGTGATGGTTTCATGGGTGTATACAATTGTCAATTGGTCAAAACTTGCAAAATTGTACACTTTAAATATGTACAATTTATAATATGTCAATTATACCTCGATAAAGCTATTTTAAAAAGTGGGCAGAGGTGAGGAAGGAGTGGATCCAAGAATGTATGCATACAATGCAATTTTAAAAGTGATTTTCAAAGAAGAGGGATGCTCAATACTCACAAAATACCTTTCCAGAATGACATTTTCCTGAAAATGTCATTTTCTAAGAAGATAGGAATTGTATTTTTGAAAGGAGCAGCCAGGTTGCAAGCAGATGATTAATTATCATGGAAAATCATTGATGTAGCATCACAATTTCACAGTATTTCTTACAGTTGAAATAAAGCTCCTTCATATCTCTCATAAAGGTATTGTGAAGCTTTAATTGATTTGTGTTAGTGAAAACCCTTGGTTACCGTCATGGAAAATAATTGAACTAAGTACCAAAATATAAATGTACAACTTTTGTTATTGTTTTTATATGTGTTTTTCTTTACAATAAACATTGCAGAGTGCCAACTATTCTAATACATTATTAAACCACAGAAGACACTGAACTCAGGGGCTCACACATCTGTTGATTTAATGTTAAACTATAGAATCTGTAGAGATGTTTAAAGAAACTCATAACTATTTCTACATGCTGGATAATCTTGCAAACACTGCTTACCCACTCATTAAGAAGCAGTAATGACTTATGCAGGGTGAACAAAGGAATATAGATCTCTAGGCTTAGTTGTATACTTTCTTTATGGAAAGGTAGGTTTTTTTTGCCTTCTTTTGAGAAGAATAACAATATTAACTCAGCACTGCATAAGAAAATACAATAAAAAATATAACTGACAATATCGATCAGGAGGACAATGTAGACATCATCCTCAGAGAGACAGAGTAACTCAGAGTTTGTCTGAAAAATGTATAAACAACAGGCTGTATTTAGCGTAACAGACTCAGCATGCGGTATAACAGTGACTCAGTTAATTGTCCTTAAGTATCACTCAGTGGTGATGCACACACACTAGATCTTCAGTAACGGTTACACCATGCTAATCAAAATTTCAGATTGTGAGTAAACATCCAGTGAACAGATCTGTAAGTCATAGTCCCTCATTGTTCGCAAAACAGAGATAAAGAAGATTTACCTAAGCTTTCTCTATTCAACCAATATAATCAGACATGACTGTGGAGAAAACTCATTCAAGAAAGTGTTGATCATTAGGCAGAAATGAGGTTATTTTTTAAGAGATAAACATTTTAGGAAGGACCCTTTGCTGTGGATCTAACGTAGAGATCTAATGTAGAGCTCCACAGCAAAGGGCATAATGGTTTCCACCTTTGGAATGAGAATGTCATTATGAGGTGGCTACGGTACCTGCAATTCATTAGTCAGCTGTAAAGTGTTCTGTTATTTATAAGGCTAGAATACAGTAGTCACATGCCACAGGTGGCCATTTAAATTTACATGTAAGTTCATTAGAATTAAAAGTTCATTTCCTCAGTTGCTCTACCCACATTTCAAATGCTCAGTAGATATATGTGGTTAGTGGCTCCAGCATTGGACAATACAATACAGAATATTCCATCATCATAGAAAGTTCTAGTGGATAGTGTTCAGCTAGAATGGGACAGAGGCCAACACAGATGCTAAGTAAGGAACTCCGTAATGTGGTTTTGAGAACGGGAGTGCATATTGGTTCCAAAGAGGCCATGTTGCTCAACTCCCGAAGAGAAGAGAGACCTTGGTTCATACTCTCCCAGCATGGCTTTCAATAAATAGCCTAGAATTAAAGTACTCTTTATGTCCCCATGCCCTCTGGGACCTCAAAAACTAAATGTGTGTTTTCCATAAAATATTAAATCAAGAGAAATTAAGACAGCACACTTAATGTGAAATAAAGTTCATATACTCCTGTTTAAACACAGATTAGAATTTCTGTCAGAACAATGCTAGTGAAAAGTTGACATTCTAATTAATACAATTTACATTATAAAGCACTGAATGTCTTTATCTTGCTATTATGAAATGCCCTCTTTAAAAAAAAAATCAAGGCTCTACTCAACAGGGAATTGAGTACTAAGGGCAGTATTTAAAAACCCATGTACAAGAGAGGTGGCTAGAGTCATTGGCATTTTTACACACCATCCACCCAGGTCTCTAAAAAAGGAAGCTATACAACCACCCTCCCCCACACAGTTCTGTCATTCTTTATCACTCACAAGGCTATTTGCATGCAGCAATGGGATTTTGAGGGTGTTTTTCTTGCAATGATGTAAGACACACTGCAAAACACGAATACCAAAAAAACAAAAACACTGTCTCTTTTTCCCTTCTTCTCTCTCTCTTTCTTCTCCCTCTCTCCCATTCTCTCACTTAACATCACAGGGAACAGTTCTGGAGCCCTGTGAACTCGCACACATGTAGGACTCCCACACGATGTTTATTCAATCCGAATTCTGAGTGTGTAAGAGGGGCAGAAAATCAACCCCACAGATGGGTGCCCAAGGATACGTGTTCAATGCCTTTGTCAATTTTATGCTATCAGTGAAAGGAATAAAGATGAGATCCTTAAAGCTTGAATTTTCATTTCCTATGACAACGTGCTCTTTCTTCATGCTTTATCACACTCCGCTATGTGGTTTCCACCCCTTCATAATTGATATCGGCCATTTGAAGCATTCAGTAAAAACCTCATGAGGTTCATCAAATGTCCCCCAGTCTATAATTCTTGCCTCTAACATATTCAGAAGCATATTCATCCAAGTGTTTTCCACTTCCTCTCATGGTTTTCCCTGTGCACAGGGACAACTGTAATGACAGTTGTATTAATTATATGCTGAAAAACCCACATAGCAGCAAAAATGATGGAGATCATCATTTTAAATATTTTATTAAAATAACCCAGTGTAGAACAGATAAAGTAGACCCTCTTGATAATGAGAGGTTCATTAATTTTACAAGAATTCTAGAAGGCTTAGAATGGTCATCAAAATTATCTCTCTCATTTATTATTTTTTTTTAAGAAGAAGAAAGCCTTCAATCATTGCTTTAAAGAGCAAGGGTCTAGGAAAATTTTCTAAGGTATTTTAAAAATAGTTACTTACCTTTCTGGAAAAAGTTTTGAAAAAATAGCTTGAAATATGGAGGATTTAGATTTCATAGTATTTCTTTAAATGCCTGTAAATTTTCAGTTCTGCGGTTTACCCCATTAAAACTTGGTTTCATTAGCATACAAGAATTCTGATAAATAAAATTGATATTATCCATAAACAAACAAACAGTGCATTAAAATCCTCCCATTACTAACAGTAAGAGCAACACAGTCTTGCCTACCAAGTGCGTCTCCAGGTACAGTTTAAGGCCATCTGTCTCTGCTTTAGGGGGTGTCCAATTCTCAGTGGTTTCCATGGCTTCGTTTAACCATTGAATGAATTCATCCAGCTTGTTTACAAACCCCTTATGAGAGAAAAGAAAAGAGAAAAAAAGGACAAGAAAAGCTTGTTAGTTGGTTATTTTTTAAAGCCAATCTTAATAATTCCAGACCGCACTGATGATAAAATTGATACCACTGCATTCTTGTCCTAGTTCCATGCTGTACAACGGAATTTCCACTACTCCTGGCACTGAAATCTATCAAAACGGAGAGAAATGGTCTATGACTCCCTCTCAGTTTTTTTCTAGGGACGCTTTTCTGAGGAATTTGGGTTGGATTACAGGGTGTCATTGTAAAGATGAGCTCAAACCATCAAAGCATTTCTGGTGTCTAACAAGCACCCCCTCACCAAAAAATCGGGTCAGCTCTGCTAGGAATACTTGTTGGCTGTGGGATATAAAAGCATTCCTGTAAAGATGGTGTTCTTTACTCAGAGGCCTATGAAGCTGAGCTGCCTTAACTGAACCAGAAATCTATTTTTAAATCACATAGTATTTAAAGGCACTTGGATGAGTTCTACTGACAGCCCAAATATCAGTGGCTGAGCCTGGGTTCTAAGAAGCAAGGAAAGGCAGGGGGGGCGGGACCAATGAATGAACATAAACGCCTGACTCTGGGTGTGTCCCAGACATAAAAAGTATTCTTGGCTAGGAAGCACAAATCACAATAATCTTGAAATTTTTCAAATAATGGTTATAAAAATTTATTGACCATTTAAAAGAACACATCTGTAGAAACGGAAAATATTTTGAAAAAATGAAAGTCCAGCTCTGAACCTAAGGGAAGGAGATGGGGTTGGGTGCCTGCTCTCCAAATCCAGGTAAACAGCACCACCTGGAGGTCGAAAGGAGCAGGGACTGGCTTCTACATTTGTACTCATCAAGATGGTTTGGGATGCCATTTCCCTATTAAACTTAACTCGTTCTTCAGATTTGCCTTTTGATTAATCTTGATTAATATTTTAATGCTTAACTGAGAATATCCTGAGACTGAAGTGAGAATAGGTGAAAATTCATTTTCTTTATCATGCTTCTCAGAAGCTAGGTTTTGATATTAAGGTTTCTCCTAGATAATAGTTTACGATTCATAACACCTTAATTCAAGCAATTGATTGGCCTCAAAATAACTAATAGAAAAAGATAATATGGCATTTAGAAGAGTGGTAAGGAGAAAGGCAGACAAATGACACTCAGAAACACATTCCTGTCTGTCAAAGGGGGCTAGGACAGAGACGTAGGCAGGAGGCCCATGGAGTCAGATCAGACTGTCCCGCATGCTCTGCTGTGTTGTCAGTCTGGGTGGAGCTCAGTCTATCATCCCACGGGGTGGTGTGCCATTTGTTTTCCCATGTTCCTAAATGCTCCCCAAAGCTGCCCCTATTGAAAACACCCCTACTGTGCCAAGTATCAGAGGACAATCACACCCATTCTTTTAAAAATCTACCCTAATCAGGTAGTTTTGGTAAAGCCAATAAGAACTATAATTTAGAAACATCTTACATAGAAACTAAGGCCTACGTAACGGCAATTGGCTGAACTGGGAACTAGGAAGACAGTTCCACCTGCCTCAAGTCCTAGCCTTCAACCCTAAACTAATGGCATCACTGAGGCTACCTCTGTCATCGCTCAGAAGAGTTTCTTTTAGGTGATGTGAAAATGTGTCCTACAGGGATGGCTTCATGAGTTTCACACAGTGCATTCCCCTACCAAACGCATTTTCTGATGATCCACCCAAATCACCCTTTTCTCTAGTTTTCTCATATTCCAACTGGTTCTAAATGCTAAGAATTCCTGCCAAGTAATTCCTTTCGCCTTTTCTAATATATTTAGGGTAGTAGTTTGTCTGCTTTTCCTCCTCTCCTGCATTTTCATAAATTTGAGAGTTGCTTTGCTTTTCCTTTCCTCCCAAATACTCAACCCTTTTAACGTAGAGGTTACCATAGCCAAGCTCTCTGTTCTCAGTAGAGCCTCTCACCTGTGCAAAACGTCACTCCCCAAGTCCCTCTTCCTGGCAGATGGCCCAGGACTCAGAATACATAAGAAATTCGTATCTGCCTTGACGTTTACCGTAGACTCCTACAGATGTGTACAGTAATTTGTGAGCATAAACATGGGTAAAGTCTGTGATAACTGTCCTAATTCTTGATACTCTCACTATTAAATTCTGTGAAAAATTAAGACACCCTTTGCTGACCAAATGGACTCATAGAAATATCATCTACAAAACCTCATCAGAATGTCAGAGTCCAGATAGTTGATAATCTTGAGATGAAAATAGTATTTTATAGTATGTATATTATGAAATAATATCTACTATTGAATTGGACTTGAGTTGTGATATCTCTCTATATAAATTGATTTGGGGAGAAAATTAAACCAAGAAGTAAATTATTTTGGAAACAACTGGTTAAATCCAACAAGATAAATAGTAAAAGATGTTATTTGAAATAAAGCCAGTTATAGACTATTGATTATTTTCTCTTCGTCCAAAACATAAACAAACAAAACAATGTATGAGTGCATGGGCATCTCATCATAAACGGTTGTCTTAGCCAAAGAGTACTACACAATGTGTGTTGATTTCTTTTCAGAACCACAGTTACAAAGTTAGCTGAAATCTGTGAGATGCAGATCAGGCAAAATCCATGAGACCCACGTGAGCCTTTCTGGAAGATGCCCCTGCATAGCCTAGCCAGACAGCAAAACCAAGGCTGTCTGATATAGACAAGACAGAGGTCCTTTCAAGGCTTCGCCCTGCTTTTCCTCTGAACTGTATCCCATCCTCATCAATTTTCACTTGTTGCACATTTTCTCAACTCTTCTTGCTAGTGCTAAAAAGTCTCGTCGATCACAGTGGAAACCTGAGAAATCCCTGTGCTCTTAACTTGTAATAAAAAGCTAAGCACTCCTCCCTTTTAGGGAGATCTTAGCTTTCCACCTCCCCTCCTGCTTATATGTGTAGTCACAAGAGTATAAACAGAAATCATGAAAGCAAATGAAACTGGAGTCCATCAGATTCTCAATACCTTTATCACCTGCAATTTCTCGACGTCTCTCAGGCCCTTCTGTGTGTGCTGTCACCAGTGTTCTGTGTGGTGGACAGTGTGCTGTGTACCACCCCCGTATCATGAGATGGTCTTCTTAGAAAGATCAAGTAAGGGCCACTCAATACACCAAGCCATGCGATGTGCAGGAGAATTCACATTGGACACAAACAATGCATATCTGAGACTCATTTTCAGAAGCTCTGCTAGAGTCTTTGTGGAGTGAATGAAGGAAAAGGAGACTGACATAACTAACAGCATAGGAAAATGGGGGACAGTACAAAATTTTATTTATTTTGTAGTACGGATCAAATCCTAGTACAACAAATATTAGTCAATCATTCATTCTTTTAACAAATATTTATTAAGTGCCTACTCTGTGTAAAGCACACTGGCGGAAATTATTGGGGGAAAAAGGATAAATATCATTGTGGAAAAAATTCAGCAGAACATAAAGCATATCTAAGCACTGGCCCATTGAATTCAACTAATTTTAATCATTAAAAAAAAAAATTTTACAATCAGTAAAGAGTTGAGACACTCTCCTGAATTATCTTGTGAAATGAATCCTGCCTGTATCAGAATTCTGTCTATCCCTAAATTTGTTCCTACTTTTAGTATTTGACCTACCTGTATTTGTTTCTCCAATATTCTGAGTTCACGCCTACTTACTTGGAGATTGAAAGATGACTATAAAAATCAGATTTTATTCATGACACAACCCAGTGCTGCCCTTGCACTACATGAAAGCACATTTTACGCACATTCACCTCACTGCTATAGGCTGAATCACGACCCTCTGAAAGGCCACAATTTAGTCTTCATTGCTCAAAGTTCTGCCGCTGTACCTTATCTGTCCAGTCTCTCTCCTGTCATTTCCTATCACCAGTTTCTTTATTCTGCCTTCTTCCATTACCTTTCTCTGCCCCCTGCCAAGCTCTCCATGGGTACAGTGAAGGTGACCCAGACCATGGGCCCTAGGCCTCTCAGGCCACCCCTTAATTGTTTCCTTCTGAGTGGGTCCCTTGCCACCCTCATATTTGATACATGCTCTCAGAGCCTGTAAACTCTTCAACCCCCAGAAGAAACCCTGGTCATCCAACTTGGGAGAAAATGGAACACACTTCCCACTTTCAAATCATTTGCATTTTGAAAGTTCCTTAATGAGGTGCTTTTAAAAAATCATACTTTTGAAATTTCTAAAGCTTCAATGTCTTTAAAGACTAAGAAGCACAGTGAAAGTGCACGCCAACATACACTTACAGGTTTGTGAAAACTAATTTACTAGAGCCCTCAGCTGGTTAACACACATTTGAAGATTACATTCACAGGGAAAATTTATAGTTGAGTCCTGCAAATAGCTAGACTCTCATAACCCATAACCCATGGTTCAGAATACCCATCATTTCTTTATTTTTCTACCTATTTCTCTCCTACAACAAACCTAGTTTGGTTAAATATAAACTGTGGGGGTGATTACTGTTGCCCTCCGGCAAGGCTGTCGTGTAGAGCAGGAATGAAAAGGAGAGCCTTCTTTGCACCAGATATGGGACCACGAAACAGTGATACAGTAAGAAACAGGATATGGAGTTGAAAGCCTAGGGGTAATTTTTATAGAATTACATGATCTTTAGAGCAAATTGAAATTGAAAACTATTTCTGCCAAAGGGGAAAGGGGACATATACAACAGGAAGCAGAGGCCGTGTTGTCACCCCAAGTCTGTGAAGTGGAGCTGATTATGGTCACTTTACAGATGAGGACACTGAGGGTCAGGGAAGGCGAGTGATTGCCTAGTGGCAGAGTTTGGATTCGAACCCGTATCTCACTCCAAAGTCTGTTCCTCACATGGCGCCACTCTGCCCTCTAGAAACAGCGCTCCTAAAGATACACCGTCAGACCCGGATGAAGGAGAAGCAACATTTCTTCCCAGTCCCATAGTCTTGGCACAGAGGTAAAGCTCTCTAAGCTCGAAGTCCTTC